TCTATCTATCTATCTATCAGGGCCTAGCACGCTGGGGATACAGCAGCCTGAACCATAAACATTAATAATACAGTGGGTATTACTCAAATGAAAGCTGCCACTTTTCCTTTGTGGGAATAAACCCCTGGGTAATCGCTGCTCATACTTATCTGTTCCTATAATTGCTTTCTGCAGAATCACTCCAAAAGAAGCTCTGCTGGCAGGATGCTGCTCTCCCTGCTCTCCCCCCGCGTGAGCTGGCCTGCACGATACCTCCTGTGTGACCTGCACCGCTGGGGGCTGCATGTGCAGAAGAGGGCTGTCTGTCCCTGCAGAGGTGTGCAAACCACACGGACAGCCAGCAGCCACCACGTCAGCCCTGTCTTCACTAGGGCTTTGACTTTTGGTGATAAAGTCGCCGTCGTTGACCAAAATGGTGAGCACACATACAGGGAGCTTTTCTGCCACAGCCTCCGCCTGTCCCAGGAGATCTGTAGAGTCCTGCAGTGCTCCAGCAGGGACTTGAAGGAGGAGAGGATCTCATTTTTGTGCCCCAATGATGCCTCGTATGTGATTGCCCAGTGGGCTTCTTGGATGAGTGGAGGCATAGCAGTTCCCCTGTACAAGAAGCACCCTGTGCAGCAACTGGAGTATGTGATTGAGGATTCGCAGAGCGCTCTCGTCATCGCGACAGACGAGTATGTGGGGAAAATAACCCCTAGTGCTGAGAAGCTGGGAGTCCCAGTGCTGCCACTCAGCTTTCGTAGCAGTGGATCTGCAGATCAGACAGCGGTGGAAGACGTGCCCTTGGCATCCAGTGCTTCCTGGAAGGACAGGGGAGCCATGATAATCTACACGAGTGGGACAACGGGGAGACCAAAGGGTGTCCTCAGCACCCACGAGAATGTGCAGGCAGTGGTGAGTGCTGCTTTCTCTGCAATGCTCGTGCTGAGGGACAGGTCTTGTCCTTCCCAGGTGGTTTGGCATAACAGACCTGATTTCTGCACTACTGGGCCGTGTCCTGAAAGTCCCCAGCATTTCTGAGGTGAGCACAAGACTCAGAGTTTGAGGCTCTGAACCTCGTGCTGTGCTTGCAGCCAGGGGCACGGCTTCTGCCTCCTTTCTTGGAAAGCAGCAGAGGTCAGACCTGTTGTAGAAGGACTGCTTTCTTTGCAGTTTTCTTCACTGTGACTAGCAAGGTATCTTTGCCCATAATTGGAATATAACTTAGCCCAGCACTGCACAGTGCTGCGTGAAGTCTGTGCATTATTTAGCTATATATCCCCAAGGCAAAAAATCCATTAGCTCTCTGAGCCAAAAGGAATTAAAAGTTTGAACGAGCCTGCTGACTACCTCACCAGTTTGTTATCACTGCCTGCAACCGATAGACTCATGCCATTAGGGAAAAAGAGCAGGGAATACAGGGTGCCTTATGGACACGTCGTCGAGCTCACGCCTTTCTGGGTGCACAGATACTGCAGTGGCTGGTGCAGTAAGAGAGCCTTGATGGATAGAGCCAGGGCTTGGCTATATCGGGCAAAGAATCTGTTCCCTGACAAATATGCTGATCAGCTGGGAGGCAGCCGAAGCGCTGACTGTCTTTGGTCCTGTCTCACAGAAAGCTCCCTGCCCTGTGGGAGGGGGGTTGTGAATGGCATGACCAAATTCCACTGATTTTTATTTTTGGAGAGCTGGAAATAAGCTCTCCAGTTGCTAACGTTGGGCTCTGAAGAGTCTGAGGTCTAACACTTTGAAATACCCTGTTGTGAAGGGGTAATTAGAAGCTTGGTATACATTCTGTATATTCTCTTCATGGGACATCAATTTCCTGCTCCCACTAGTTATCCTTTCACATGTGAGAAGAGCAACGTCATTGATGTCCAAACTGTGTCAGCTGAGTTCTGGAGTATTTCAGGTTTTATGTACTATTTCTGCAGGCTTATGATTTTGTGGGTCCTACTTAAAGTCATTGCTGACTTAATTCTCAGTAGCAAGGAAGGTCTGTGATCTGTGTGCACACATACATTGAAAGAGTGCAGAAGAGGTTCCTTGTGAATGCTTTATGATGGTAATTCTGCTCCTGCTGGCCCTAAAGAGGGGATTTTTGTGCCCAAGTGTTGTTCTGGGAGCGGGGGGATTTCTGGCACCAGCTGTGCAGGGGGGTGCTGGTAGGTTGGGGACCTGGGTGAAGCTTTCCTCCTGCCCTGACATGAGATTACGTGTCTTTTTCCATTAGACCACAGGGCTGGTTGAAAAATGGGAGTGGAAGAAAGAAGATGTTATTCTGCACGTGCTGCCTTTGCATCACGTCCACGGGGTGATCAATAAGCTGCTCTGTCCTCTCTGGGTGGGAGCGACATGCATCATGCTGCCCGAATTCAGCGCGCAGATGGTAAGCCTGGAGGGATCGTGTGTTGTCTTTGAAATTCAGCAGCAAGACCCCACGTGCTGTAATTAGAGCAACTCTGCAAAGAAGTTCTTAAACAATTCCAAGCTTTTTGGCTGCTGGCTGCGTGCGGTTCACCAACTGGTAAAAACCCTTTCTGTTGGACGCTGCTCAGGTTGGGGTAAGTGTGCTCTGCTGGAGGCTGCGACTTGTTTGAGTGTGACAGACGTGAACACGACACTGCTGCTCCCCCTTGGAGTGTTGGGGGTCTCCTGTTGGGGGTGATCTACTCTTGGTACCCACTGAGATCATCCACACCCAGAACAAGGGTCGTTCATTTTCTGGTACAAGGAGAAAGGTGGAAATATTGGATTTTTCCCTTGCACGTTGGCAGTGAGCTGCCTGAAGCTGTACTGCTGGTTGGATATTTCATTTTTAGTAGCTTGCATTTTCCACGTCCTCGATGTTTTGTGTTACATTACATGACAGAACACAGACTTCAGAGTTTCTTACAGCCTGGCTAAGAGAAATACTAATCCATGTCACTTGCATAGAAACAGTGCTCTTGAGCTGTAGAGGTACAAGTGTAAACAGATCTGTCAGTTTAGACGTAGCAATGTAAGTGAGAGTTTGCAAACTGAGAGCTGCTTGCAGTTTTGCAGGAAAGGTGACAGGAGGGAAACCTTATTTATAAGTGTGTTTCTGCTGCATTTAGTACTGTTTGCTGGCCAAGATAGGAGGCACCAGTCTGAGTGCTCTGCTTCTGTTTTGTTCCTTGCCCGTGGTGGCAGGTAGCTGACTTGCAAAGAAGATGAAAAGCAACAACCAGCAGTGAGGTAGAACAGCTTCTACAGTTACTGGCTCCTGGGAGCTGGCACTGTTCATCTACATCCCCTGATATTGGTGGTGGTGTGAGAGGCACTGGAGTTCTGGTTTGCTCTGAGATGAGCAGCGTCACTATTAAGTGAGCAATTTGAGGTCCTGGTGCCACCTGATAGCAGAAAGGGGACCTGCTTTGTCAGTGGGCAGCTCCTTGGGCAAGTGACGAGAGCTGTCAAGCCTGTGCTTTGTGGCTGAACAGGCCATTTTATGTGTCTGTGTTTATTCATGTGGCAGGCAGCTTTGTCATGCTGGAAGGACAAAGAGCAAATGCACAGGGTGCACCTGGAACCCCTTGATGCTGTGACTCTGCTGTGGAGCTGAGTTTGGACTCTGATCTGAGTGAGCTGATGACCATGTGATTCTTAGCAGCTTATTTCTGCTTCTCAAAGAGGCAACCACAGAAAATGTGCACTTCCCTTCTTGTTTCAAGATGGCCCTGGCACCTGAAAACCCCACTGGTAGCTGAGCACCGGTTCTTCCGAGGGGAAAAGCCCCAGAATCACAGAGGGGCAGCTCTGCATTCACATCTCCAGAAGGATGCTGTTGTAGAGGAAGGGCAGTGAGGTGCCCTGGCAGCTGGAGCTGGTGATATCTTCTTGATAGTGGCTGCCCAGCTTACCTGCTGCCATCTTAATGGTGTCAGCCCACGGAGCGTTGTGTGCACACAGCTTGGGGTGCAGCAGGGATGCATGCCCGTCACAGCTAGGGCTCAGAGCATTGTCCAGGCACTGCTAGGAGGCAGCTGGTGTGAAGCAGAGGAGCGTGCCGATAGCCTGGAAGCAAAGCCAAGCCCTCTGGAGGGCGCGTTTCTCCACATCCTGTGCCGCTGGTGATTGATCGTCCCTTACACCCATGTGTTTTTCTGTGCTCTCTCCCGACATCTGCAAATCAATGAGCTGACATTGAAGGATGGGTCCGGGTGCCTGCAGCAGGGTGCCTGCCTGCTGCCTCTGATCAAAGCCCTCTGCTGGAGCCAGCAGTGAGGGCGAGTGAGGACAGCGCGGGGGCCATCGCACTGACCCTGGAGGTTGGACTTGGGCAGAGGTCGGCGTGGTGAGTGAAGTTCCGGGGGCTCTCAGGTGCACTTGGGCTCTGAAGGACATCCTTTGCTTTTCTATTCTTTTTATTCCCTTTATTTTTCCGAGGGCCTCCCCTGGGAGCTGAAAGTGGTTTGATCGACACTACAAAGAAAGCACATGAGGGTAAATAAGGCTTTCTTGTGGAGTTTAATGCAAGCTGCCTTTCAGTTCCGGTCTATTTTCGCCAGCTGTTTACAAAATACCCTTTGCTACTGAAATCAGCTTTCAGAGTTTCAGTGGAGGATTTTGCAAAAGGAGCCCGAGTTTTGCTCTGCGCTTTTTCTCTTGGTTGCACCTTGAGAAAGCAGCCAATTATAGTGTGATATAAAGAAACCCGGATGGCAGCTAAAACACTTGACAGCCTGATCAAAACAAGGCTGGGAACTTACTCTCAACCTGCTGCAGGCATATTTAGCCTTGAGTGATACTGGCACGGGTTCAAGAGAAACCGCAACAGCATACCCGATGTGTGTTTGGTTTCTAATCACCAACACTTCATTATACAAAATAAATACTTTATTATTACAGCCTTTATTAAATTACATAATTTGTGGTGTGCCTTATAGTCAGATACTGATGCCAGTCTGGTTCCAGTGGTGGTAACAGCGCTCTTTATTTTTTCCCCTTGGTTAGAAGGCGCTCTGAGCCCCAGGCCAGGACTTGTCGCTCCCTGCATCTTTCAGACCCTTCCGTCTGTTTTTGGGTCCAAGGAAAGGTTAAAAATCAAGCTGTAAAATAACCTCCGTGTCCTGACCAACATCCACTCTCTCACCAAAACAGCATCTGATGCCCAGGGCTGCGTGCGAGCTATTGCTGAGGCCACAGGGGCTCATTAAAGTGTATTGAGCTGCCTCAAGCGTGAAAGTTGCTGCATAAAATCAGATTCTTTTTATTAAATGAGGACATCCATTACTTTGCACCAGCTACTGTACATGTTATAATTCACTTTATAGCACCATCTGTTAAGGCTGTCTCGCTTAAGCTTTTTGCAGCATCTTTTTATTGTAAGTTATTAAAAAATATGGCTGCATCTATTAATCATTTATTAATAAAGGCTTTATAAATGGACCCATACTTCCCAGCAGCACAGTCAGTTCATCCATGCTGTGCAAGTCCCCACTGCGTGGGCTCAGTGTGATGCTGGGAGCCCCCCCAGCTGCTGCCTGCCCTGGGGGCCTTGAGAGCAGCACCCAGCACTGCAAGAGTGCTTCACTGCCTGGAAGGGACAGCTCTGAGCACAGTGACATCTCCGTGCTGCTGTGGGCATGCACAGTGGGCAGAAAGGCATCTGGGAGCTCGTTCCTCCCAGCAGCTGTGTGGGGCGAGGGCAGCTCTGATGTTATTTTTGTTTTCAGCTGAGCGTGAGAACAGGGAGGGCAGAATGTGCTTTGAAGTCAGAGCGAGCTGCAGCCGAAGGATCCCTTTGTGGCCCTCCTGGCAGAGCTTGCTTCCAGGCTGCATGCTTCTCCAGCTGCATGCAGGCAGCAGCATTTCCCAGTGACTTCTGAACCCATACCTACAGAGTAGGGGCACCCTGAGCCCACTGCCTGCTGAGGTTTTTGGCCAGTGTGGGTTCATTCTGAGTTTGGACAGTGAGAACTGCTTGTCTTGCCTTGGGGCACTGCTGCTCCCGCCTGGACAGGAGGGAGCAAATGCTTAAGGGATGAATGTTCAGTTGAGAAAGGCTGTCAGCTGGTTGCATTCAACACGAGGTCAGATCCTGGTAGCTCTTCAGCAGGGGGGATGGAGGAAAGTTTTAGGAATCTGAACTCACTGTGGTCCGTGCTGCCCCTTTGGCTCTCCAGGTCCTGAGCTGCGGTGCACTGCCTGCAGAGTGACAGCACTTTGTCAGTAAGCATGTTGAGATGCAGATTTGTCACCCTAAGGTTGTTTTAGTGCCACACTCACTGTGGCTGACTCTAAGGTGTCTCTAAGGTTTGTACCTTCTAAAAATGTTTTACAGCAAGGTGAGGGCCGGGTGCTGCTGCATTGTGCCTCTGTTTGGTGGCCTTGTGAGGTCCCATGGCACAGGAGCATGGTTGCCTGCAGGGAGGAAGAGCATGCACCGTGGTCCTGAGCCTCTCCCCATGATCTGTCACTTCTGCAGACACCAGCCTCGGTGATTTAGGCATTGTTTTTATAATCAAAGCAAGTGCAAGCACACAGGGTTCTGATCTGCAACAACCAAGCACCAAAAGGGCGGTGTGCTGGGATGGCCTGTCCCATACTGTTTCAGCTGGAGCAAGGCACTCCTCTTTTCATTCTGCTCCAGACTCAAAGAGGAGGCGGTGGAGGGAGGAGCAGGTCGCTGCTGAATGGGTTGTGTTTGATCACTTCTCACAGACCTGGCTTTCAAAAGTTAGTGTTTTTCTTCCTGTCTCCCCAGCTCTGCCGTCTGTCCTCAGCATCTGCTCAGGAGTAATGTCTTTTCATGTGTGTGGGGATAAAGAAGAGATGGAACCGGAGCCTGTCATATTTACTTATATTCCTGGCTCCCAGGGAAGGCACTTGCTCCTTTCAGTATGCCTGCAACACAGGAAGGGTTTAAAAGCTTCAGCCTGGAATAGAGAGGGGCCATCAAACTGCACTGATGAATAAATGATTAAAACCCGAGTCGCGTGGAGCACAAACAGTTTGGGGTTGCAACACACACGAGGCGAAGCCACCGAGGGCCTGGTTTCCCTTTGAAGAGAGGACTGTTTCCTTTTGTGCATGCTGCTCCCCAGCAGCAGCTCTGTTTGGCTGCAGCCACTGTTGCTCTCACACAGATCGGCGGGCAGCGCTACCTGCACGGCAGAGATCGATGCGCAACACAAAGCCAGCTCCTGGATCAAAAGGAGAAGTAAAAGGATGATTTAACCTTGCATTAGAGGTATTGTTGCTGCTGAAAAGGTGTAAAAAATATGTATAAATTCAATAGCCACTGAAAATGATACCGTAATTTTATAAGGGAGAGAGGAGCTGTTGTGTCTGTCAATAGAGGTAGCGGTACGGGTCGTCTATTATCTGTTTGGGTTTAATGGGAAAATCCATGCTGATTTTCGCTTTCCTTTCAGCTTTTAGGCATTTTTGCCCACGTCTCTTCTGGCTCCTTTTGGAGCCTTGCATCAGGCAAAGGCTGCCTGGACTTAGCATACAAATCGCCACTGCCACCTTCCCCTTCCTCTGCTTCAGAAGATGCCCAGGTACTGATAGATCTGCTGGTTTCTGTCTGCTTTATACCATCACACGTTTCCCTCTGAGGGCAAAGGCTCTGTTAAGGAAGGAAAAATTGCTGCCTTTTCTTCTCTGTGCTGCATCCCTTCCTTCAGGTGATGTTAGCAGTTCTGGATGCAGGCTGGGGAGGCTGCTGCAGGGAAGGACAATCTATGGGAGCAGCTTGTGTGTTCCTCCTGCCTCATTCACCACCGTGCCATCTGCATGCTGTAAGAAATACGTGGGAAAATCTTGCAGCTTGGCCTCACTGGGATTGTTTTAGACCCTCTGGTGTCATTTTTTCCTCTCCCTCTCTCTCTTTTTTTTCCCTCTCATTTCCTGCTGGCAAAATCCCACCGGCCAGCCCATGGAATTGCCCAGATACGCTTTTGTGCAGTGGGAGGGGAAGAAAATCAGGAATGTCAGAGGGCTCTTGGGAACAGAAGGTCTTCTGCTTTGCTGGCTCAGGCAGCCTGTCCTGTAAGCCAGCAGTGCTGTGTGCCTGCCCTGGGCTTTTGCTGCCATCACTGCTGATGGGAAGCTGTACCCATTCTTGTTTTCTTGCAGCTAGAAACAGTTTGATTCAAGCCCTTGTTCATTTTAAATGAAGTTCTGGTCCACTCCACGCCATCTCCTGAACGTATTCCATCTAAAGACTGGTACTTTCCTATGCTTTGCACTATAGTGATGATTTAAAGGCTCAGTGTTTCAGCCAGAGGGCTGTGCCCCACTGAACATCCCCAGAGCCAGGCTGGTGGGTGATGGCATCTCTGGGCTCCCTGCAGGCAGGCAGAGCAGGGGGTGCATTTGTGACAGAGGTCTCAGGTGAGCAAAAGAAAAAGAAACAGTGGGCTGCCAATATCCTGTCTGCAGGTGATTGATGTGGTGACAGTGACACGTCGGGTAACAGAGAGGGAGAGATGGATCTCAGTGCTCTAAACCTGACGGTGTCAGAGGATGCTGTGTGTGGGAAGGGCAAAGCTGGCCCCTAGCTGGAGGCCAGCCAAGTCCCCGGCTTGATCGATTAGTCCCAGGTAATGAGGCTTTCCCAGATCCTTCTCTTAAACCATGAAGTTCTAGTTATGAAGCAGCACTAGCTGTTTCAGCTGGCTGGGCAGCAACAAGCCCTCTGGACGCCTGTGGGTCTGCAGAGAGCTGGGGGCTGCCAGCCTTGTGCCGCAGCTCGGTGCTTAGCGCTGCTACAACACATGGTCGGGATCCAGATTTGGCTGAGCAGCAGCAGAACAGGTGGGGATGTTTGGCTGTCAGCAGATCGGCCCAGCAGCGGCTGGTGGCACGCATCCAAAGGCAGCTGCTTATCTTTGGGAAGGGGCTGCTGCTGGGGCGAGTCGGGCTGACACAGAGCTGCTCCCATGGCCGGGATGGTGGCACAAAGGGTTTTATCTGAGGCAGGAGCTGAGCAGATGTGCGAGGACAGGGGGATCCTGGGGTGCAGCAGAGAGCTGTGTTTTGGAGCGATGGCGTCGGGTGTTTGTTTGCTTTGTTGTTGTTGTTGTTTTTTAATCCAAATGCATGTGAAAATAAATCTGCCGCACAGCCAGTCAGACTGGAAGTCTGCCCGTGTTCCCCACAGCTGCTCTGGGCTTCTGCAGGCAAATCACACAGTGAGGATCGAGCAGCTCCAAACGTCTGTCTCCCATCAGTTCTTTGGCACAGGCCCGGTGCCTGCTTGCTGTCACCTGTTCCCCTGCCCAAGGCAATGGCTCGATGGAGCACCAGGGGGAGAGGAGCAGATCCCTGGCTTTGGAGATCTCTCTCTCTCTGTGCTGCTGCCTCAAATGGGAAAAATGCTGTGAGGCTGAAGAGAAAACGACCTTTGGGGAGAGAGGTTGGGAGACATATAGTAGGGGTCAAATCCTCCTCGATGCAATTTTGCCTATTCTGCCTTCATTCAGGGCTTCGTGCTGGCAGGGGTGCCTGCAGTGTCGGGGCATGGCTGTGTTGTCGGTCATTGCAGACACACTGCGTTCCTTTTCTGCTCCTCTCAATGCCCATAGGGGCTCACAGTAATCGTGTCCCAGCTCCCATGGCTCTGGGGGTGTCCTTAGGTCCCAACCCCACGCCTGGTGGCTTCCCAATGTGTGCATCCCTTGGGTGGGACACTGCTTCTGTTGGATGTGTAGGGCTGCATTAAGAACAACGCGGCGCCGACGGGGTTTTCTGAGGGCTGATTGTTCTGAAGCAGCCAAGTGAGAGCCGGCAGGGAGAGGTGATGCTGGTGCAGTGAAGTAGAAAGTAATGAAATGGAGCCCGAGCGAGCAGGACGGAGGGGAAAGGGGCAGCACACACAGCAGCACCCGGGGTGACAGCATGAAGGAGAATCACTTGTTCACCTCCAATCAATTCATGCTTTTTTTTTCACCACCGCACGCGCCTGTGTGCAGCTGAGCGTGTGCTGGGAGGGAGGGAGGGGAGGCAAGCAGTGTCAGGAGCTGTTAGGAAATACATTTGTCAACAACAGGGCAGGGAGAAAGGAGAGGGAGAGGTGGCCGTCACCGGAGCTGAGTGGGCCAGAGCCATTTATTTATTGATGGCTTTGTATCCTTCCTGCCTTGGGGAGAGCTCACCTGGAGGGAAGAGTGACAACGTGTGGAAGAAATGGCTCTAATTTCAATATGTATGTCTGCTTGTTGCTAACTGCTCCCAAGTGGAGCTGCTCAGCCAGTGCAGTGTCTGGGGTCACTCATTCCTCTCCAGCAGAGCCAGCTGCTGGACTTTGGTTCAGTTGATGGGTCCTCAAAGCTTTGGGTCCATGGGCTCCTATTTGCTTGTGTGTGACTCTGTCTTTCCTCTCTGGAAAGCTGGCAGCTTTGCGTGGCCTTTGAAGAGCTCTGTATGCTCACAGAATTCACTTCTTCTGCCCTGGGCTCTCTTCATCAGCAAGTGCTTGGCTGTACCAAAACGTGCCATTTGCATCTTGTGATCATTGAGTGTGAGAGTGATGGGTGATCCCTTGCTGAGAAAAAGCTGGGAAGTTGGCACTGACAGTGCTGACCCTCTACTCTTAATATCTGGGTATATACGTACACATACATGATGCCTCTTTCCTAGGTTTGGAAGAAGTTCTTGAGCTCCCAGGCTCCCCGTGTCAACGTCTTCATGGCAGTGCCCACCATCTATGCCAAGCTGATAGAATACTATGATGAGCATTTCTCTCAGCCCCAAGTGCAGGACTTTGTGCGTGCCTTTTGCCAGGAGAACATCAGGTAGGTGGGTACTGCACGTCCTGCTGCCCCCAGCTCTGCACCAGGCAGGGGCTGCTGTGGCTGTTGCACCAAGTTTTCTTTTGGACTTCACCTCCTCACCACCAGGCAGGTTGTGGTGCTGTGGGATCTCTCTGACAAGAACAGGGGTGACATTATTTAATTATGAGCTGCTCTTGCGTGGTAAAGCCAGAAGGGGTCTGCCTGCTTATTAAACGTGTCACCCTACAAGATACAAGACTGAGAACTTCAGCCTGCAGCCCACAGATCCCTACAGATGCTGCTGCTTGTGCTGCAAAATCTCTTTTAGGAGGCCATCCTGTCTTAACTTAGACCCCCCTATTAGACAGAGAATCTCTTCTGCGTGAGGAATATCTTGGATACTGGCTGAAGGCTTTTGGGTCTTGTAGGGTTTTACGTAATGCAGGCTTTACATAACATTTTGTTGGAATGAAAACTCCTTAGATGCTTTCTTATGTGGTTTTCCATGTGCAGGTTGATGGTGTCCGGCTCTGCAGCCCTGCCTGTGCCTGTCCTGAAGAAGTGGAAGGCCATCACTGGGCACACTTTGCTGGAGAGGTATGGGATGACAGAGATTGGGATGGCACTTTCCAACCCTCTGCATGGAGTCCGTGTCCCAGGTAGGAGTCTGGAGAAGGTGACACCAATCAGAAGTGTTTTGCTTTCAAGTGTTCTTGTTTATTCTCACCACAGAGAACACACATCTCATCACTGTTTGTCAGAACTGGGGAGAAGACTGTGTTGTGAGCAAAGATGCTGGTAGAGGAACTGGCATTGGGAAGGTAGGACAAGCCACGAGTGTGTGTGCAGAGCTTGCTCTGATACACACCAACCCAGCTAGGCCAGGTCTGTCCTGGAGGCAGAATACACACGATGTACTCTGCTTGATGATTTCCAAAGTCTTAATGAGTTCAAACACTGTGATGGGATGGCATCTTCAGCTTCTGCTTTGTGAAGTTGTATTTGCATAGGATGTTGACACAGGGCTCTCCACGGAGCAGCTCGTGTCCCGTCAGTCAGTACTGAACATTTAAAATAGGGTGTCTGTTCACTCTTATTTTAGTGCAACTCTCTTAACTCCTCAGGAGTTAGGAATTGTCACACCTCGTCGTATGCTCTGGCTCTGTTCTCTCCTTGTCTTCCCTCACTTCTCGTAGCTACGCTTTGTGACTCCTCTCAATATCTGTGGTTTTATGTAACCTAGAAATAAATTGATCTCAAACATTAAAAATATCAAATGCCCCCACCCTCCCTTTGGTTATAAACGTGGCCATCTGTCTGACAAGCAACCCAGCCCACCACTATGCCACCTTCTCCTCCCCACATGCTGTCTGCACATGCATGGCACCATATGCATCATTTTGGTCTCTGGTCTCCTGGGGACCGTTGTTACCCAGGTGGGACTGTCCTGTGCCTTGTGGCTTCCCCTCACACCCCAGTCCTGCTGGTTGTAGCAGCTGTGCCCTGGAAGGAATTGCACAGGGTGAGGAGAAGCCACAGCTTCCCCCAGCATTGGCTCCTGAAACTGAGAGCAGCTTGGGGGCAGCACAAAATACAAAGTGCAGTTAACTTCTGCAGTGTAGTTGTGATTCCCCCAGTCTGGCCAGTGCTTGCTTGCGTGCTGGAGAAGGGAAACTCAATTCCCACCTGCATGAGCTTGAGCACTCTGTGAGCCCCAAGGTGTAGGATGGTGGCTTGAGGTCGTCTGGATATCACAGCAGCCTTGTTATATTTGCTTTTTATTTTATCTTTTGTAGGGGAAATGAGTGGAGGCTCTCAATTTCCCTGGAGACGTAAAGGCTGTGTGGATAAGGCAGAAATGGACACCAGGAAAGGCAGTTTTAATTCCAGAGATGTGTCCACGTGCTCTTGAGCAGAGGCTGTGTGTAGCCTCTGGCATTACCAGGTCTGTAGGGGACATGGGGACAAATAATCTCATACAGCTGTGAGCAGAGGAGCTGGGATAAAGGCTAAGTGTCTGTCACACAGCCACTGAGCTGGGGCTCACTGCAGCCCCACAAAAGGAGAGAGGAGAATCTCACAAAGGTGTGGATCAGCCAGGAACCTTACAGACAGAGAGCTATGATTGAATAGGCTTGGTTAATTTATTTCAGGAAGTGTCAGTTGGGAAGCAGATGGGTGCAGCTGAGGCATAATTTACTGGAGCTGTGAAAAGCTTTTGATATAGTACCCTATTAGAGGCTGGGATGTAAGGTCACCAGGTACAGCAGTATCCACCATGAATGAGTCAGCTGAGAAATGCAGCAGTGGCTGAGGCAGGAGGAGCAGTGAGCTTCCTGCAAAACAGTGTTCTGGGGACAGATGCGAGGCAGCAGCTGACAGCAGACCCACTTGCTGGCCACAGCTTTATTTTAGCACAAAAGAGTTGCATCGAGCATGGCCAGGCAGCAAGGGCTGTGCTGGAAGAGCCCTGTGGTTGCAGGATACTCATAAAGAGATGGTGGAGATGGGGCCTCAGCAGGCATCAGTGTGTTAAACATAATGCAAGAGCTTGCTGGGCATGGCCAGAGCTGAAGCAGCAGATATTGAGGTTGACTGGGATGACTTTGGTGCCTGAGATAGGGGTTGGCAACCCACAGCAGGGGTTGGAACTGGATGAGCTTTAAGGACCCTTCCAAGCCAAGCCATTCTGTGACTTTATGGCTCCGTGACTTCAGACATTTCTCTCAGTAACATTCCTTGCCACTGGAAAGCTCCAAAGAGGGAATGTGTCTGTCCCAAAAGTGATCCATCCCAGCCTTCAGATTGCAGGTTCCCTTGGTGAGGTGAACCCAAGAACCCTCACAGCTGCCAGCGGGTTCCTCTCAGAGCAGAAGCAGCACACATCCTGCTCTGCCGCTTCACGACCTTCCTTCTGCCTCTGAGGAGAGGTGCTGGGGTTGTCCTGCCCTCCTTCACCCCCTGGTGGGGCTGGGGAAGGGCAGAGCCCTCCATGTCCAACAGGTGTCCTTGGTGCTGTGGCACTGCCCCATAGGGCGCAGATCCAGAAGGCCAGGGAGGGGGGGGAGTTCTCCTTTCCTAAAGAAGAAAAGATGAAAGATTTGAAAGATAAATGTTTGCTTGTATATGGTTAAAACCCTGCTTAAAATGCCTCTGTTTTCACCAGCTCTCATTCTAATCCCCCTGGTGCTGTTACTGTGAAGGGAGATGAATAATTCATGGCTGGAGAATGCCTCACTGGGCCTAATCACCACTTTAATTGGAGGTTTAGATCAGAGGCAGCTAATAGCTCCTACAGCAGGGACTCGGTGTATTGTTGACAGTGAGATCGCTGAGTGCCTTATCGTTGGCCTGTTTCAATTCTCCCAGGACAGCACTGCACATAACAGCATCAAGGTCCCCAGATACCGGAGGACACAGACCGCAGGGCCAATTAAATTTATCTGGGAAGAGCTGACAACTTTTTTAAACAGAGGAGAGCCGGTGAGGAAGAATAATGGTGTCAGTCCTTCCTGACTGCAGCCTGACAGTGTGAACGTGCTGCCAGCTTTGCTGAGCATCCTGGAGTGTGCAGACTGGGAAGAGCTGAAAGGGCGCAGGGAGGGGAAAGAGCAGGGAGTGCTCCTGGTTCCAGTTCTGAGAGGTGGGCTGTGCTGAGTTTTGACTCCCTTCTGATGACAGCTGATTTGGGACTCAGATCCCCTCCCTGCAGAACCCCAGGGTCAGGCTGGAGGGGCTCTGAGCACTGACGGAGCTGTGGGTGTCCCTGTTCATTGCAGGGAGTGGAGCCAGGTGGCCTTTAGAGGTCACTTTCAACGCAAACCATTCTGTGATTCTAGTGCTGTGCCTTTGCAACCTGCACAGCCAACCACCGAGGTCTGGAGTTGGCGTGGCGTGTCTTAACACATCATGGTACATACATGGTGTGTGTCTTAACACATGATGATGTGTGTTTTAACACATCACCCAGGCCTGAGGAGCTCTAGTCATAGCCTGTGCACAAACTGTATCAGTGCTGACAGCCCCCTGTAGCTCTGATCAATGCTGGGAGCGTTTTCAGCCTTTACAGATTTCCATTTGCAGGTTTATCATTCTTTTGAAATGCCAAAAAACTTCCAGGCTGAACATAAGGACACGGCTCCCCATGTGGGTCTGATTTTACATGTTGGTTCTGCTTTAGCCAAATGCTTGTCTTCGTATCTGTTTGGAGGCATTGTGTTGCTGTTTGATATTTCGTTCTCAAAGGCTGAGACCAGAAGTGACCGCTGTCATTCGGTGCTGCTGCCCATGGCTCAGTCTGCTGTGTCCTGCACTGAGGCTGGCAGTTCGCATACAGCAAAGGAGCATCTTCCAAGAAAGCATTGATCTGATCTTAATGCAAAGGCTTCCAGGGCTGGCAAACCTGTGGGAGTCTGTGGCAGCTCACTGGGCTGCCTGCTGCTCCCTTCCCTGAGCTCTGTGAGGCTTCATTTACTCGCATTGTCTGCCTGCCGTCTCTTGCCGTGTCTTTCAGCCAGGTTTGGGGCTATCAGCACCAGATATTTTTCACACGGGAGAAAACGTTCCCGTAGAATTCTAGAAGGTGGCCTTGGCAAGCTTGATGTGCAAACATTTGGCTTGTATTCCGTGATTTATAGCTTCCTTTGAGTACTCTTGGAGTCTCGTGGCAGGTACAAAACTCTGCTGAAAATATATAAATACCTCTCCCTGGCAGCTCAGTGGCTCCTCAGCTCCTAGTGAGAAGAGCAGAGCACACCTCTCCCTCCTGCTCTGCTGCAGGCCCCTGTCCTGGGCTTCTGGCAGTGAGTTGGGCTGTGTCAGAGCAGCCCTGTGGCAGGAAAAGGACCTGGCTGCCTGCAGTAGCTGATCTAAATGCCAGAGGCAGTCTCAAGCTGAACAGACACATGTCACGGACCTGCCACGTAGCTTTCTGTTTATTTCTTGCCAGATTTGTTAATTGTTAGGGTAGTTTTGCTGCAATAAAATCTCACTCCCTCGTAGCCCATCTGCTCTTAGCTGATCCTGCAGGGATGCCATAAATCTGAGCTACCATGACATATTGATTTCCATGGCAACTGACCAATGTAGCAGGCACCAAATCGTGGTGTCACAGGTACCAGACCTCCAGGGCTTGGCTAGGAGAATGAGAGTGGGACAGGGAAATTGCACCTTGAACTCAAACCCCTGAATTCCAGATAATGGGGAAGGCTCCTGGTCCTGCACACCCCCACTGTAAGGACTTCCCAATTAGAAAGCACCACCAGCACGACGACTGGATGCTCTCCAGGTGGAAAAATCAATCAGCTCAAAATAAAGAGCAGACTTACCAGTGCAACCTGCCAGCCTTCCCAAGCCACAGGTTGCTCTGTGCCCGATGCAGGTTTGCATGCTGGCAGCTCCCTGCTCAAGGGGACGAGAGCCATGAGCCTCATCTTGTGCTGATAGCTGTCATGTGCCACTGAGATGCAGGGAACCCGCTGAGCCAGCAGATGCCCCAGTGCCCTGCTTGCTGCTGTGCCTGGAGCCCCCCAACAGGCTGAGGTCACAGGAGCAAAGCTGCCCTTCCTGTGTGCCTTCTGCTTACTGCAAGGGGTGTGCATTAAACCATGGGATGGGGGTGCTGCAGGTGTGGGGGCTGCAGGACTGTCATGGAGCTTAATTGCTGTTGTTGGTGACACTGTGCCACATTGCCTGGCTTTGAAAATTGAAACCTGGGGAAGAATGTTGTGGTTTTGATCTCTGCTTTTCTCCTCTGATGCTTTGTGTACAGGGTATTGATGTCTCGTAAAACTGAGATAATCTCTTGCAATGTTGACACTGGTAAGCCTTTGCCTTCTCTGTCAGGTTCAAGCTATAGAGAAGCAGTGAGCCGCTGTAGCAATCATTGTGCTCCTTCTTTTCACATCTTCATGTAGGTTTCATGGTGCAAAACAGCTTCATTACTGTGCCACGAAGCTGTCCCAGTGCCTTCAAGAGCCGTCCAAGGGAGACTGCTCAGGGCTGCAGACACATTTGTTTTCCCAGGCATTTCCAGCCCTGCCTGCTCAGCGAATGGAATATGGCACAGTGACATTTGCATGCAGACATAGGACGTGATCAAAGCCTTCCTGAAGGGTAACCCCCCTGCAAGGAGCTTCTTCAGCGCCAGCACAGTCTGCAGATGCCACTGAGAGAAGAGAAAAGCAGCTGCTCTGCTGGATCTGTATCTGCTGCATCCGTGGCTTCTTGCTGCCCACTGTTTCAGTCGTGTTCCCTTTCCTTCCTAGGTTCTGTTGGAACCCCACTGCCCGGGGTGGAGGTGCGCATTGCCACCGAGAAGGTGAGAGGTGGTGGCCGTTCCTACACCATCCACGCTCAGGGAGATGAGCACGGCACACAGGTAGCACTCAGCTGAGTTTCTGCTGCTTCATTCACTCTCAGAGCCCTCTGAAGCCCCGGGGATCAGGGCTGGGGTCGCACTGTTATTCCCAGGAGCTTAGCTTAGTGCCACGTGATTCTCTCTCGCATTCATTTTATGGCTCAGCCTGCCCACAGTGCATTATGGACCCCATGAATGTGGTCCTCCCACACATCATCTGAGAGACAGCAACCCTCTGTGTGGGCTGGGAGGTATGGGCTGAGGCACAAGGGCTGCGGGCAATGGTGTCAGCAGTTGTGGCACAGCACAGCTCTGCTGCTGGCACACTGCCTGCGAGTGACGGGCTGGTGTCAGTGCTCACACCTGCAGTCACACTCACACAGCCCCACCTGATGCCCTTCCTGCCCCGAGCTGCTGCTGCTGGCACACACTGCATGCCTGCCTGGTTAATAATTCATAGCAGGGGGAGTGCAGCAGTGGCATTTATTTAACACGAGGAGGACACCGTCTGAGCACTCAGCAGCCCAAGAGCCATCTGGCTGGGTTTCAGCACAGAAATGAGCTCCGTGGCACTGGGGCTGTCCTTGTTTGGTGTCCTGTCCTTCTGCCTGTGCCACTGAACAGCCCCACATCCCATTTTCTTTGCCTGTGCCACCGAACAGCCCCACATCCCATTTTCTTTGCCTGTGCCACTGAACAGCCCCACATCCCATTTTCTTTGCCCGTGCCCCCTGGCTTGTGGGAAGGGATCAGTAAATATTTCCTTGCCTCCCTCACAGGAGAGCACTGAGACTTCAAGCTCTGTAGTTCAAGGTTATGGAAGCTGTGGTGTGGGAGTGTCAAGGCTGAGGGATCCCAAGGGAGGGAGGGAGGGAGGGAGGTGACAGCAGGACATGGTGCAGCTCTCCTGGGTGCGATAAGTGCATCCAAGGCCCCATCACTTCTCTGGGCATTTCTGCACAGTTTGGTGTTGACGCTGTGAAAAATTACCAAATGTCACATCGTGGCTTGCTGGTTCCCCTGTAGGAAATAAACACCTCCTGGCAGCAATAAACGCCTGCTGTCTGCTTTGGTTATATGGCTGTCAGGGCAGGGACCTCTCTCCATACACACACAGTGTGGTGCACATCTGCACTGCTGCACTGATAATAACAAAAGCACCAGCACTGAGTGGCTGTGCTGCAGGACCTAAGCACCCTGCACAGAGCTCAGCTCCCCACTTCTCTGCACTGCATCCCTCTGTTCTTGAGAGGTGACCACGTTGTCAGGGCCATCTGCGAGGCATTCACACCTTGGCTTGGCTGCCACTCACCAATGCCCTCCCTTTCTGCCATGGAGATGATTTGCTGAGCTGCAGAGAGCCTCGCAAGGTCACTGCCTTCCCCTCCTGCTCCCTCCTGACAACAGGCTGTTCCCCAGCCACTAGCTCCCTCCCAACACCACCTTTCCCCCTCTCGCTGCTGGGGGGTTCTGTTTGCTTTTGCATTTTCACCCTTTGGATGCGTTTGTGCACCCTGCAGACAGCAGCTTGGGGACACTTTGTGACACCTGGGCCAGTCCCAGTCCCATAGCACTGCTGAAATAAGGGAGTGTGTGTGGTGGGAGCATTTCTGCGTCACCATCCAGTAACTGTGAGCCTGCAGCAGGGGACTGGTGCAATTTGCAGAGCTGGTTTCTGGCACGCCCTGAAGATCAATAATGTACTTAGCTGAAAGTTTGCTGGATCTCTTCATTCCTCTCTTCATTTCCCCCCTGTCCCTTGGTTGGATTCCTTTCATGCACACGCTCCCCTTGCAGCTCTAGGAGCCCTGTGCTTTCTGACTCCCAGCTCACCCAGGTGTTCCAGGTGCTTCCCATGCATTCTCCTCACTAATTGTTGCTGCACCTTCTCCTGAGCACAGTGATGTGAATTGAGACCCTGGACAGATGCTGTCCTCACTGCTTCCCAGAGAACCAGAAGTGGTATAAGTGGATGTGGGCTGCTCCAGGCCATGCAAGAAGCAGCTCCCAAACCTCCAACCTGCCCACCAAATCGCCTGACCTCACAGCTCAGCACATGGAATCACAGAGTGCCTGCATGCAGCAAGGCTTCTCCTTACCCCCCCAGTTGCTCTGTCTTTCCACCCCTTTCTCTGTCATGTTTTGGCAGCCCAGCTCAGTCTGAGCACCTCCTGCTTCCCGTGTGTGCAGGAAAGGGTTACAGCTTTCCAGCACCGAGCAGTTTGGTTTGCTTTGTTCGGTGCGATGCATATTTCATACGCTCAGCTTCCCAGCTGGCAGCGGCCTGCAAGCCCAGGGAGCTGCTGGGTATTGTCTCTCTCTCTCTCTCTCTCTGTTTGTTTGTTTGTTGGTTGTGAGGTTTTGGGGCTGTCATTTTTGTTGGCTTTCTTTCTTTTTTTCCTTTTTTTTTTTTGCTGCTTTCCCAGATTGCTCGCTCGCACGAAAGCCAAACCCCACTCCCTGACAATGGGGGTCTATCAATAGATAAACGGTTTCACAGCTGTACCTAACGCAGCACTCTAGCCAGGGCTTTTTATGGCCAGCAATTTGCTCTGCGATGAGGCTGTGGAGAGAGCGTGCAGGGTGGTGGGCTGCAGGAGCTGGCAGCAGGAGGACGCTGCAGCCATGGGCTTTTCTCCCCTCCCTTCGAGGTTGTAATTATCTCGTTGTTTATCCATATGCAAGCTGTCGTCCTGGACGGGAAACGGCTCGGAGGCGGCCGTCCCTCCCCGCAGCCACCAGCCCCTCCTGCCCGCCTGCCCGTGCCCCCCGTGGCTCTGCCATCTGCCAGCAGCGTGCTGCACCGTGGGGCTGCCAGCTCCTCGCCCTGCGTGCTGCAGGCAGAGGGCACTGGGATGCTGCACCTCACCCCTGCTCTGCTGGGATCTGCCCAGCGGGCTGCCGGGAAAGGTCTTCCTTTAGCTGGTTGCTGGGCACGGTGGGAATGGGCTGATAGCTGGGTTGGATGACCTCAGTGGGCTTTTGGGCTGTTTCTCAGTCAGCACAGTCACTGACTGCGTTCTCGTTGGTATTTATACGCCTTTATTCTTTCTGTCTGGTGTTTGATTGGTGGCCGTAGCTGTATTTTTCTCTTTCCTAGGTGTAAAGGTGGAGGCAGAGATTACATTAGCATCGCATCCCAGTGTTCCCCAGCTGAAAGGTGTTCTTATCACAGAGGCAGCTCCCAGGAGCCTGCTTGGCTGTTTCCTTGCACGTTCACGTTGAGTCCATCTGTCAAGAACAACCTCTTTCCACCAGCGCTTCCTTTGGGCTGACCTTTGTCACAGTACCCTCAAGCTGTCTGTTAATCTCTTTATTATCAGTTCAGGCTTTCATCCCCTGCCTTCCCATTTTCATCTCCCATCCTTTGCAGGGGAAGGGCTTCACCCTGGGCTTCTCCCTGCCTTGGGATAGCCATCCGTGGTCCCCTTGACCAGGCTTCGGTTCTCCAAGAGATGGATTCCTTTCTGTTCCCATGACGGCTGAGGTAGATTTCATCCCCTCTCTGTGCAGCACACGAAGCAGCCGTGGGTGTCCCTGCTCACTGCAGGGGAGTTGGATCAGATGGCTGTCGGAGGTCCCTTCCAACTCAAATCATCCTACAATTCTGTCTCATCCCATCAGTTCCCCCTCGGGGTGCTGGAGGCTGCAGCACGTCTTGGAGGTGCTTCCCAAGGAGAAGATGCTGAGGCACAGAGCCGGGAGGCAAAGGAGCAGCGCCTGCCTCAGGGAGCTCACAGCCAAGGAGAGGAGGCAGCGCTGCCTGGGGTGGGTTCACAGCAGGAAGCAATTAGAGGCTCCGGGCAGCATCTGCAGTCAGAGCACAGAGCAGCCCCTCTGACCTCGACTTTTAAGTGAGGCTTATGGCAAATGAACCGAAGGTGGGATGCTAATTGAATCCTTGCCTGTGCTCTGCCTGCCTCTCAGCGCTCCCAATGCGCGCTGGGGGTCCTCCTGCAATGCTGGGGGAGCGTGAGTTGTGCTGACATCTCGCCTCATTTGTTACCTCTGAGGCTTCCAAACAAGAGCAGCAGAGGGCTGCTGGCATTCCTGGAAGTGTGTGACACTGCTGGTTTATGGAGATCATATAAATCAAGAAGTTAGGGTCCGTGGATGGGCTGCGGGGGGGACTGACCGTCCCCAAATGTGGGTTCTTTCTGTGGTTCTTTTGGGATCAGCTGGAGTTAATCAGCCTGGGAACTTCTAAAAATCAGTGCTGCCTAAGAATATCGACAAGCACTTTTGGTTTTGGTGGAGCAGCATTTGCTGTTAAGTGTAGGGTTGGGTTCTGTGAAAATAAGAGCCAGCCTTCCAGCTGTGCAGCTGCCCTGCTTTTACATCTACAACCTTCCAAAATGAAAAGTAAATTGATTGTGTTTTTCCCAGCCTTTTTTTTATATGAGGTAACATTACAAAAGCAGATGTGAAGTGTGGCCTTGTAGATTACAGTCTGGGCTTGGGGTTTGGGTGTTTTGGGATTGTTTTCTTTTTCCTTTCTCTGTACCGTGTCTCTGAGGAGCAGAAATGTGCCTCTTTCCAGCAGGAGGAAAATTGCTTGTTGTCTGCATTGCCTCCTGCTTGCCTTCTGCAGGGCACGGAGCTATGGGAGGGATAATGCCTTTACACAAGCATGCAGCTTAGCAGGGACCTTTTAATTATGAATGTGCATGGGAAATTGGGCTGCATGGGAATCTGGTGCCAGGGATCGGGGAGCTGTAAGTTCCTTGGTGTTCCATGCTTAGTATGGTTGCTTTTTGGTTGTTTCAGAGTTTGTCTCAGAGTTACATCTCTGAGAACTGCTAACAGGGATCCGTCACTTCCATAAACCTCACACGTATCAATTACTGTCTTCTATTAGTCACTTAAAAGGCTGGGTTGCTTAATTATTTTTGATTACAGTGATCACTTATTTATAAGGTGGGGAGAAGTGCCAAGCGTTTCCAAGCTGAGACGCACAGCACCGGCCGTGGCAGAGGTGCAGAAACCATTTTTCCTCTCTGCAGATGTAAAGGATTTTGCTTTTCCTTGTTGCAGCAGCACTGGTGCCAGCCCATGCAGCGCTGGGGAAGGAAGAGGCAAATGGAGAAAGGTGGAAGGAGAATGGTGCAAGAGCTGCAGGGCACGAAGGGCGCTGCCCCGTCCCAGCCCCCCATCTGGGCAGCGCTGCTCTTCTGCTTCACAGCCGTGTGACATCCCTTTGTAGGCTCCCTCCTAAGAGAGGATGCTCTGATTTGCAGCCTCTGAGCCTGCGGTTCTGCCCCAGAAAGAGGTCCAGGCAATTCTTTTGAGGGTAAGGAAGGGGCTGCCAGAAGTCAAATGTTCCCCACTGACCGTGGCTGTGGCGTTGCGCTGCCTCTCCCGGAGTGAACTGCTGCTTTTCCTAACAGCTCCTCTGCCTCCCTCCCACCTCTGCTGGCCTAACATAATGTCATTCCCTCTCCTCTCAAACCTTGCCTTTCAGCTTCCACTCTTTGTCTTCTGAATATTCCTGCTCAGGCGTTTGCAGTGTTTCCCCGCATCCCAGCGAACGGCACGCCGCTGTCAGCTTGCCCCATCAAAGCTGCTGATTCCATTAAAGTCCATTAGAAACTCCTCTCCTGCTGCTCCCCAAGGACAGGGGGATGGCACATCTCAGAGACCACAAAGAAAACAAATGGCCACTTTGAACAAATCGCAGGGCTGCGTGCCAAGCGGGGATTCCCAGCGATTTACAAACTGCCTGCACGGAGAGAGGTAACCTGGAAGCAGACAAAATGCTCACTGTGTCATCACCCACAGTGATTCCTTCCGAGGCTTTATTACAACCCTCTTCTTTTCATGCGTGGAAAATGGAATCTCATCTGGTGTCCCTCGACTCACTGAGTGCGTCGTGCAGCAGAGCGCTGCCGGGCAGCAGCCTTGCAGGGCACCAGAGCTGCTGTTCAGGTTGCTCCAATGCATGAAAGCTGGTGAAAGGTGCATTCAGATATGGCACTTGGAGAACTGGCTGTGCTATCAGTGGCTGTGTGCTCTCAGCAGCTGCTTGCAGCGTGTCAACACGTTGTACCTCTGAGATCACAGAATTGTAGGGGTTGGAAGGGACCTCCAGAGATCATGGAGTCCAATCCCCCTGCCAAAGCAGTTCCCTATGCCAGGTCGCACAGGTCGGCATCCAGGCAGGTCTTGAACATCTCCAGAGCAGGAGACTCCACCACCTCCCTGGGCAGCCTGTTCAATCTGATGGGGATAGGCAAAAACACAGCTAGGTGTGCTGCTGCAGCATCTGCATTACCTGTGTATGGCTCTAGCAGGGGTTGGGTGCAGTGGAGAGAAGCCTCAAACCCTGAGTTTCAATGCATGCCGTTCTCAAGCTGCTTTCAGTGGGGTGCTTTGCATCCTCTGTGCTGCATCAGGGAGCAGCACTGGTGACATTTGGAGTTCAGCAAGCAGAATCCTATTAAGATAACGTCACGGCCTTTCTGTTTTACTGTTTGCAAGCCAGCCATAACATCATTAAGTGACACAACAGGGAGGTGCCTGCTGCCAAGGAGCGCTGCTCTAGATAAGATGTGGGTTGAGCCTCTGCCAAAATGCGAGTTGATGTGACGGGAAGCTTGGAGCCCGTTCAAGATTTGGTTTGCAGGAGGAGCAGCAGGCAGGGCAGGATCAGTGCCCAGGGCTGCCCTATTTCTGTACCCTTCCTGGGGGCACAGCGGGCACCGGGCTCTCAGCACAGCCCATTTATGTCGTGCTCACATCAACAAGCAGGAGGCATCAGATGGGGTGATGTGGAGGAATGCAGGACAGCTGCAGCGGGTCCTTGGGGCACTCACCTCTGCCTTCCCCTCCAAGCCCTGTCGATGGAGTCAGAGGCAGCCTGATAGCTCTGGAGATTGGCTTTGGAGCTCGCACAAGTCATTAAAATGCTGTGATGTGAGGGGAATTCAGATAACTGCTGTCTCCAGCTGAGGCACAGGGGTCTGCTGGAAGGGGCTGGGATGGGATTGCCCTCGGGGGAAGTATTGCTGGTGGGTTTGAGGTCTGTGCTGCCCACTGGGTGATGTGCAGCTGAACTTGTGGTCCAGCACCATCCTTACCACATCACTGTGCAACTGAACTTCCCTCGTTGGCAGTGATGGGCTTTGTATCCCAGGCAGTGGGGGTAGGGCACAACGAGTGTTCTGGGGGCTCAGCCCAGCTCCTGACACACAGAGCTATTGAAGGAAATGGCAATTCTGTAGAAGTGCTTGGGCTGTTTGTGCAGATCAGCACATCCTGCAAGACAGGACATCAGAAAGAAGTCCATGGAAACAAAAACTGTGCCCTGGAAGCATCTTTCTAAACATTTTCTGTTAGAGAAGCTTTGGTTGCATCAAAAGCGAAGTCTGTCCTGCTCTGTGATCCTGCTGGCTGTTCCAGCATTGCTATTGCCGCGTTCCCTGGTGGCTGCATTTCTTGCATTGCTGCTTTTCAGCATCCCAGCTGTGTCTGAGCTGCTGCAACTTGAGCTCAGAGTGGCTCAGTGCTCCTGCTGAGTGCGTGCTCCCTGCACAGAGTCAGAGCAGTGTGCTCAAGCAGCTCGCAGTGACCTTCTCTCTCAGCAGTGTTTTTGCACATTCTCCCTGCAAAGGTTAACGCAGTGCCAGGAGCAGTGCTGCAGCCATGCCTCCTCTCACAGCCCGCTTGCATCCTTGTAACTGCAGAGCAATGAACGTGCAGGAGGTGAGAGACACCGTGCCGTGTCAGGCAGGTCTGTAACCTCTCTTGTTTCCATCGCAGCAGGATCTTCGTTTTGTTGCTATAGAAAACCTGCCAGTGCAGGTCTGCAGGGCACCAGGCTGGCGCTGAAACCGTTGCCTCGCAGTGAGCCCCAGAGGAACTGTGTGTCCTTGAGAACAAATCAGATGGTGTTTCCTGCCACCTCCTTGGGAAAAAAAACAACAGTGTTGGATTGACAGTTTGGGAAAGTGAGGCTTCCTCTCTGTCAACACAGCAGGCTGCAGTATGGCACAGTCACAGGAGTGTGCCTCGTCCCTCTGCCTCCTGCTCCCATCCTCAGCAGTTTGCAGGCAGAATCCCAGTGGGATGCAGTGAGCCGTGCTGCTCCAGGGCAGCAGGTGGGGATGGGGGAGACCTGCAGGGAGGGAGGAGTGTTCTGGGGTGGGACAGGGGCTGCTGTGAACTGACGGGCAGCGTTCTACCCCACGGCCATTTCATGCAGGCAGTCACTCTTTCTCTGTTCCAGGTGACTCCGGGTCTGGAAGGGCAGGAAGGGGAGCTGCTGGTCCGTGGCTCCTCGGTGTTCCGTGAGTACTGGAACAGGCCCAAAGAAACCAGAGAGGCTTTCACACCCGATGGATGGTTCAGGACAGGTACTGTACTGCATCCTGAGGAGGGGGGCAGGAGCTGTGCTTGTGCCCCCGGAGGGGGGGTGGAGAATGGGATATGGCCTCACCGGGTGCCCTGCATTGGAGCCAAGGAGCAAAGCGTCTTTGGGTTGCTGGCTGTAAATGCAATATGCAGGGCTGTGCTTTGTGGGGACTCAGCCACCTCAGCGCCTGGAAGCAGTCTGTGATCGAGCTGAGGGTAAGCAGGTGTCACATCAGTGACCACAGGAGTGCATGCCCATCCCTGAGGCAGCTCTGCTCTCATCCACCGCTGGTGTCAAAGCTGGACCTGTATGGGCTGGGGGTGTGACTGGGGGGGGCTCAGCAGCTGCCACTGCATTGGAGGTTTCCATGGGATTTCCCTTCTTCATTCCTAATGCCTGGGAAGCTGAGCTCTCTGGGGAGGAATCCCTGGAAGAGACCTTGAGGTGGGAGCAGATCAGGAAGGAGGTTTTGGAACTGCCAGAACGTTGCATTCTGAATTTGTTGTAAGTGAAAAGTCTGCGGCTTCCGAATAAAGAGAGCTCTGAATAAAGAGAGCTCCCAATAAAGAGGCCTTTTGTTTTGAATCTGAGGCTGGCTTTATTGTTATGTGCTGTGTTTATGAAATTCAAAGGGAGTGTTTCTTTTCCTCGGGATCTGCCTTTCTTATCTGACCGTGAGTGAGAAACGGTTTTGATGTTTGCAGGGATGGGAACAGCTCTGGTGTTTGATTCTTTCAAATCAGATTTCACCAGAAGGTAATACTCCAATAGTAATCACATGTATTGCAGGTGGATCCTTGGTAGGTTTTATCTAATGTCTTGAAAACATCTGGTTATGCTCTGCCAACAGTGCTTTGCCCCTACCCAAAGCTATGCTGGGGCAGCAGGGCCTGGCAGAGAGCTCGTAACATGGGATGACAAGCTCAAAGGGGGGTGGGATGGCTGATTCCCACCCAACCTTCACACATGAGCAGTTCCAACATTCCCATTTCCCTTTTTGTTCAGTACACCAACCCAGGAGCACGGGGCTGGATTTGGGATGCCCTCTTTGCCATGCTATCTATCGTCCATTTGTGAGGAAGCAGTGGTTTCTTGCCACTGCTGGGCATCCCATCGTGGGCACAGCACTGGGTGTGGGGCAATCAGCTTCAGAAATTTTTTTTAGTCAACACTCCTGATGAATATTTCAGATGGAAAGGAATAGCATGCATTAATTATTGCAAAGAGATGTCTTTAGGAGAAAATGATTTTGAAATTCAGTTTAATTTCATTGTAATGCGCCGCAAACAGGAAGGGAGTATGTGTGTTTAATTGGCTCTCGGGGGTAAGGCCTGGAAGATGGCATGCCTTTGTCACAGGCCATTAGTGATACAGACTGCATAATGAGAGAGTACAATCAGCTCACAGCTGCCAGCTCCTACGGGGAGAGAATGATATTAAATAGAAATCAGTATAAATTAAACTTAACCCTTTCGCTGGCTGAGCTGAGAGGAAAGCCTGGGGCTGGGAACATCAGAGCGTGCCAGCAGCGCTCCGTACCCTCACAGCAGCCCCGGGAGGACGGCAGCTCCTCATCCTCTCCTCACCCCGTCGCCCTGCTCTTTGCCTTTCCTTTCTTCCCATCTCCTGGCGGTGCTGGAGAGGTGAGGCTGCTGGAGAGCGAGGTGATGCCATAGGGACACCCCGGGTTGGGTCACCACCAGCTGACAAAGCAGTTTGGCACGGTGCTGGTGGGCAGTGCCAAGTCCCATGAGCTCCAACTGGGACTTGGAGATTTGGAGAGAGCGAAGCAGGAGGCAGTGGGGAGCACACAGCAGCCGTAATTTAGCACTCTGCTGATCGCTAATGGCAATCTGAAAAAGCAGCGGGTCAGCAAATGAAGAGTAATTACTGCAAGGGAAGAGCAGGCACTGCTCGTGCTGCACCTTGCGCCGAGCCCCGCGCCGCACGGCGTGGCACCGCGATGGGGCGCTGCGTGCGTTCCTCCGGTGCTCTGCAGCATCTGGTGCCCTGCTGCCCTGCTCTCGGTGGGGATGTGAGCGCTGTGGGGCTGCGCTCAGTTTGCGTGCGCGGAGACGAGGGCGGGACTCGTTTCCTCCTCTGGCTTTGTGATTTGGGGGTAGCCCAGAACCCCGAAGCCCCGGGTGCTTTCCAGGCTGCATTCTGCAACGTGAGGCTCACAAAGGAATCTTTCATTTCTGAGCCTTCTCTTGCTGCAGGTCCTTTATTTCCCAGTGCTTTCCTCAGGCCAGTTCTCTTTCTGCTTGCAGTCCCTGTAAATCATGCTAGCATGTGTATTTTTCAGAAGGTATTAAAGACCAACACTTCCATGGCAGCAGTCATTTTCCTTCTGATGGACAGCTGCTTTATTAAAACCCATTTTTCTCCCATGAAACTGCCTCACTGAGGAGAACAGCATCTCATTGAGTGCTGAGGTGGCCGCTGCCTTCACGGCAGGAAGGAACATCAGTGCTGTGAGCTGAGGGCTCCAGCAGCTCCCAGGGAGGAATAAGGAGCTCTGTGCAACACCTGCACGTCTGTGAGCACCAGAGGGCAATGCCATGCATGCAGGAAGGCTGCACAAACATCCCCCTGCCAATGTGCCCGCTGTGGGGAGAAGGAACACATGTGCACTGCAGGAAGGAACCCAGCACGGTGCTGCTGTGACCTTTTGGTGCATTCAGGATCTTGGCTGCAATGGGATGCAGCCAAACTCTGGGTGTTGCAGAGGTGATTTACTGCGACTCCCTGCTTCTTGATTTTCTCAGGTTCACACCGTTGTCTGCCTCTCTCTCTGCAGCTCTCGTTTCCATTTGAGTGAATTTGATTATTTTTATTGTATTGTATTCATGTTGTTGACAGAGCTGCTTAGATCGGAATCCCCTCCGGCCATTCCCAGGGAGACTGAGGGGTGCCCCCATCTGCTGCAGGCAGCAAGAAGTGCTGAGCCCCCCAGGAAGGTGCTGAGCCCCCAGGGAAAGCACTGAGCCCCCCAGGAAAGTGCTGAGCACCCAAGGAAAGCACTGAGACCCCCAGGAAGGTGCTGAGCACCCAAGAAAAGCATTGAGCCCCCAGGAAGGTGCTGAGCACCCAAGGAAAGCATTGAGCCCCCAGGAAGGTGCTGAGC